TCCTCCCAAGCCACCTCTCCAACGGCACCCACGAGTCATCCCCAACATTTGTGAGTACCCTGTTCCTAGCGACGGTAGCGTGCCGAACAGCATGGGGCCACATGGAGTTGCCCAGCCCAGATTCTATGAGCAGCGCCCTAGCTGTCTCCAGAATTGTCCGGTTCGCCCGTTCTGCTACACCGTTGGACTGTGGGGTGTAAGCCGTGGTCAGCTCCCTCTGGATGCCCTGCTTCTTGAGCCAGGCCGTCATCTCAGCTCCAAGGAACTCACCACCCCGATCTGTCCTAATCCGCTTCACCACACACTCCGCTTGCTTCTCCACGAACGGCAGCCAATCGTCCCGAATCGTGGAGGCGGCGTGATCTTTCTGCTTCAGCGGATACGCCCACATTAGCCTGCTCCAGTCATCCACTATGGTTAGGAAGTACCGCTCCCCCTTGTGCCCTTGCACCGGCAGCGGCCCCACCAAGTCCATGTGGACCAGCTCCAACGGCTTTTTGCTCCTGCCAGCCACACTATGGAAGGGGAAACGGGTGAACTTTGAAAGGAGGCAAATTTCACAGTTATCATCGGGTGGTTGTCCGTTCAGCTTCAAGCCTTTAACGGCTCCATCCTTCTCCAGTTGCTTCAGCAAAGGCATTGCCACATGCCCCAAACGTCGGTGTGCAGTTGCCCAATCCGTCTCCCCAGATCTGGCCGATACTTTCACACCAACCCCTCCAACGGCGTTGCATTCCCCCTGGGATGCAGACCCCTCTCCAGCCTGCCCCCCACCATGCCACGCCAGCGCCGGCAGCTGCCACATAGATCTGTACACGTCCTTGCTCTCGTGCAGATCCCAAAGCACCCGATTGCCCAGCTTCCCCTTATAAGTGCGAGCCCCATCCGTGTTGGTGTTCACCCCAGCCTTGCCAAGCTTACGGAGGGAGATGAGGTTGGCCTTCAGGTCGGGGACGAGGAGAACGTCGTGCAGCACCACCGGCTTGCCATCCGCTCCCTTAAATGCAGCTCGTCCCGCACCAGCCACCTTCAACATGTGTCCAGAGGCAGAGCACACCTCATTAATCGGTGCAGCGCGTACGTCGTCCAGCAGGTCCTTGCGCGGCGTCATTGTCCAAGCAGCGCCTGTGTCCAACACCCAATAGTCCAGGGGGTGCAGCTCTGCTCCAGCCTTAGCAGATGCGTCTCCTTGCTCCCCCTTGTCTCCCATATGGAAGAATTGGCCCGCGGTGCGCTCCTTCTTCTTCTCCGCACCGCCGTTGCCCTTCGGGTTGTTGTCGGACGAATCAGCGACCATGTTGGCGCCGTTTTTCTGGTTCCTCCGCGCGCCGCCATCCTGGTGACGATTCTGGGGGGTCCATCCATCGGGTTTCTTATAGCACAAAAACCAGGGGTGCCCTTCCTTCTCACAATACCAGCAACTCCCTTTCATTTTGCCACCAGCACCCGACTTGCCCCCACGTCCAGATTTCGCACCGCGACCCCAACCGGTACCTCCTTGTTGGTCGTTGGAGTCGTCGTCTTTCTTTGCACCGCGTCCAGCACCACTGAAGCCACGTCCTTTGCCACGTCGGCTCCCTTGCATCCCGTAGCCGCTGCTGCCGTCGTCTCCACCCCTCAGTTGGCGGCGACGGAAGTCCTCCTCCAGAATCTTCGTCCGCACCCACTCGAGCGTCCACAAGCTCTGGTTCTGCGGCAGGCTCAATCCGCTCGTAAATTGAAGCCACGATTCCGGCAGCAGCGAGAGCATCTTCAAGCACTTTGTTTGCTCCGGGTAGGTGATTCCCGCGGTCGCCAACTTCGCGTAGAGGTCGCGCAATTTGTCCAGGACAGGTTGCACCGGCTCTTCCTCGCTCAGGCGCAACGCGGACAGCTCCCTCTCCAGCATCAATGTTGCAACAACGGAGGTCGGGGCGTGCAGCTCCTTCAACACGGTCCACGCCTTCGGACCGCACTCAACCTCCGGCAGCAGGTGCATGACGTGGTGACGCTGGTTCAGCTCCAAACTCTGCGACATCAAGTAGTAGCCAGCCGAGGCGCGCTCGTCCCAATCTTCCTGAAGGGCGGGGTCACTCGGTCTAGGCTCCTCCCCAATCATTAGTTTCAGCAATCCGATTTGACGGAAATAAAGTTGCATTTTCCAGGCCCAATCATCATAGCCCTCACCATTGAACTTCTCGACGGTGAAGTTTTTCAGCACCTCCTTGATCAGCGAGCCCTGGCTTGTTCGCGCTCCCCTTGGCGCAAAAACACCAGAATCATAGCTGCCGCTACGATCTTGGGCTGAAGATTCACCAGCTACCGCCGAGGTGTTGCCCGCCATAGCTACCTATATCGAGGATCACTATAACGCAGCTCTGATACCAGCTTGTTGGTGTAAGGGCCTAATAAACTCAAGCTATTAAGACTTTATCACACTTAAAACCTCTCCTCGGGGTCACCTCCAAGGGTCCTTGGGTGCCTGGTACAAGACCAGCCCCTATCCTCGGGTCCGAGTTTGTAGAGAGAGGGATCAAGAGGGACTTAGTCAAAACAGCAAGAGTACCTTGAACGTCGCGCAGCGTATCGTGCAGACCGTCGATCGGATTAAGCTGAGAATTTCCTATATCGAAGCTCACTCTAAGAGCTTTAAAATAAGCCAAGTTGCCTCGCGAAAAGTTCTGCCATTACGAAGTTATGGCTCGGACAGCGTTAGCCTAGCGTTGGAGTGCTAGCATACTAGCGTTGACTCGGGTAGCATTCCGCCGTCGCATCGCGTAGAAACGAAATTCCAGCAAGGAAGGAATTCGCTTGAATCAATTTCACTATATTCAGGTACAAACAGAGAAGGAATAAATAGCTCTAGCTAGCAAGGACCTTGGGAATCAACCTGGGAACAACCAGGGATGATCCCAAATAATTCCAAGCAACAGAACCAACCTGGCTGGACAAAATAGCAGGTGATAGGTTGGTGAACAACCTCTGGTTCTGTTTTTCCAACCTGGGGAAACAACAACCAGGTTCAGGTTCTAAAAACAGAACCTGTTTTGTCTTTGCCCAACCAGCCAAATGCTGGTTCCGCTGGTTTCCCCTGGCCCTGTAGCATGCAGATACAGACAAACAACATCCAACCTTCACCTAAATTGTACCCCTATAGTGCCTGCCCTGCTACACTATAGTCAACCAAACAAAACAGTACAATTTCGAGTTGGATAGAACTGAATCTGCGCAATCAAGTAAGTTGAACCGCAAAGCTTCCATCTTGGGTTCCTTTGCGAGCTCGTCCTTTCTGCTTGTACTGTTCATAGCGCGTACAATGTTATGCCGAAGCGCACATTTTGCGAGTACCTGCAAATGCTTCAAGCGAAAATTGCGAAAGCAAACAAACACACAAACATACCATTCACACGCAAATGCATTCGCACACGCATACTCGTACAAACAGACGGCAGGATGTCGTGCAATGTGAATTTGCACCCAACACAACCCGCCCTACTTGCCACGTCACACCCCCCCCAAGAGCCACGTCACCCCCGACCCACCTGAAACGCCTCGCTGCGTCATGCGCCGCACACGTGTACCCTTTTAAACAGCCACGCCATCCCCAATACTCACCTTCCGCCATGTCACACCCACCTGCATCTGCCACGTCATTCCCAACCCTCACCTTCCGCCACGTCACACCCTCCTGCATCCGCCACGACCACCAAACAGCCCTACGTGCCCTGTCACACCCTCCTGCATCCGCCACGTCACACCCTCCTGCATCCGCCACGTCCACCAACAACCAGCCCCTCATGCCATGTCACACCCTCCTGCATCCGCCACGTCACACCCTCCTCCATCCGCCATGTCCACCAACAACCAGCCCCCCGTGCCACGTCACACCCTCCCACCCCATGCCACGTCACCCCCCACCCACCTGACACGCGTCGCCTTGTCACGCGCCGCTCCCATGTATCATTCCAAACCGCCATGTCTGCCCCAACCCTCACATTCCGCCACGTCACACCCTTTTGCATCCGCCAACAACCCGCCCTTCTTGCCACGTCACACCCCCACCAATAGCCACGTCACCCCCCACCCTCCTGAAACGCCTTGCTGCGTCATGCGCCGCACAGGTGTACCCTTTTGAACAGCCACGTCATCCCCAACACTCACCTTCCGCCACGTCACACCCACCTGCATCCGCCACATCATCCCCAACCCTCACCTTCCGCCACGTCACACCCTCCTGCATCCGCCACGTCCACCAACAACCAGCCCCTCGTGCCACGTCACACCCTCCTGCATCTGCCACGTCACACCCTCCTGCATCCGCCATGTCCACCAACAACCAGCCCCCCGTGCCACGTCACACCCTCCCACCCCATGCCACGTCACCCCCCACCCACCTGACACGCGTCACCTTGTCACGCGCCGCTCCCGTGTATCATTCCAAACGCCATGTCTGCCCCAACCCTCACATTCTGCCACGTCACACCCTTTTGCATCCGCCAACAACCCGCCCTACTTGCCACGTCACACCCCCACCAAGAGCCACGTCACCCCCCACCCTCCTGAAACGCCTCGCTGCGTCATGCGCCGCAGACGTGTACTCTTTTGAACAGCCACGTCATCCCCAACCCTCACCTTCCGCCACGTCACACCCACCTGCATCCGCCACGTCATTCCCAACCCTCACCTTCCGCCACGTCACATCCTCCTGCATCCGCCACGTCCACCAAATAGCCCCACGTGCCACGTCACACCCTCTTGCATCCGCCACGTCACACCCTCTTGCATCCGCCACGTCCACCAACCAGTCCCACGTGCCACGTCACACCCTCCTGCATCCGCCACGTCACACCCTCCTGCATCCGCCACGTCCACCAACAACCAGCCCCCCGTGCCACGTCACACCCTCCCACCCCATGCCACGTCACCCCCCACCCACCTGGTACGCATCGCCTCGTCACGCGCCGCTCAGATGGAGCCTTCGAAACCGCCACGTCAGCCCCAACCTTGCCCTGGTTGCCACGTCAACCCCAACCCGCCCCATTTGGCCTGCCACATACCGGAAATGGGTTTGTCTCTAGCAACACTAGCACTCGTGCCTTGTCCACGACGCTCATCCGCGGCGGGGTACCAGCCATAGGCAGGGCTGCCGACCCGCCGGCATAGCTGGCAGGTACTCCACGATGCAGGCCGAGCTGTGCAAACATGGCGTACATCTCAGACCGCAGCGCGTGGAACTCCTCCCGTGTAACAAACGGCTCGTGCTCCGCACTTCCACCTAGGGCACCCATGAGTGGAGGAAAAAGGTGTGAAGAATCTCCTATCTGGCCAAGGGGATCAGCATCTTCTGCAGCAGTCCCGTGTGCCCCCACACTATCACGCTGGGGGGAAAAGGGGAGCTCAGGGCAGGGATTGGTATAAGTGCCTGCCTGATGCCCGGGCGATGGACCGGCGACGGGGGAGACCGCCCTGCCCCGGACAAGAGAAGCGTGTAGCGACCGAAATGGGTATGAGGGTGAGGCAGTGGGGTTTGCGTGACGGGGGCTGGTGGAGGGGATTCGGATTCCTCTCCTCTTGGCGCGCCGGGTGCCGTCTTAGCGACTTTGCTCGGGCCGGTGTATGGCGTGTAGAACCTTGGTGCTCCTGTGGCTAGCGGTGGAACACTCGCTCTTCCGGCAGCCTTCGTTAGCTGCATCCGTTGCACGCTTACAGGTGGCCCAATGCCTGTAACGCAAGGGGCTGAGATGTAGAGGGAGTAGGATAAAGAAATTAGAGTCAATCGGTTTCAATACAGGGCCAGACATGCATGCATAACATCAAAGGTTTGAATCTAAATCGGGTTTAGGGTTGTACTGGTTTGAGACAAGAGGGTTTACCTTGCTTGGTAGATTTGTCGACCCTCTCCTTCCCTGCAGGGGAGAAACATGTTATAGTCACAGTAGGCTCCAATGTGCCTAAAACGAAAGATAGAGTGCACAGTCGGATTTCTGCACAGCGGCTTCAAACGTTCATAGCGATCTGCTCACAACTCTAAATGACCTCATTCAACTTGGATCTGGAGCGCCTTAACGTCGCCTACAATAAGCAATTTAAATCGCACGCTTTCATTAAGAAATGACGACACAGCGTTGGTTTGAACGAACAGCACTATGGCAGCAACATAGTCTTAGAACACAAGATAGGAAGAGTTAGGAAGAGTTACGAGTTGGGAATGACTCCCAGCTCCTACAAACCCCAAGAGCCGAGGTACAGTGATGTGGAACAGTGCCACACTGTCCCCAACCACGAAGGGTCTCGAAACTACCCTTCACTAGGGCCTACACCAAGTGAAATGTTACACTACTCAAAGTAATGGACCTATCTTCAATATCTTGAGGTGCACCCTTTTGGCGAGCTTCGAAATCACTCGAGGCTTGACACAAAGGCTCGGGCTCTTCATCACAAACTCATTCTTGAGTTCTTGATGGGTCTTCTGCACACACCTGCGACACGCCGAACGTTCGACACAGGACAAAATAAAAACCGCGCGCGAGACAGAAACGACCGCGTAACACGCGTCTAGCGATATCTCGCTATTGACTCGACACACACACTCGACATCATGACTCTACATTCACACACAATTATAAGCATGAAATATATATTATCCCATGCCCTCATACCATTCCATACACACATACATGCACGCACACGGACAACAAGCCGAGTGCAAACCGTAGGGTTGCACCAACAAAACAATGGGAAAAAATGGTGTTATTTGGCACGGTTGACCAGATGGTTCAACAACCACGCCACTTTTATTGGCCACAACGCTCACCTTTCTGCTGTCCCTTCGGTTTTGGGGCAGCCTGCGCCTTCTCGTTGTCACCTTTCCGCGGGGTGCTTTTGCGGACGCTGCGACGTTTACCGGCAGGTTCTTTCTTGCCGGTACCCACTGGAACCCCTTTGCCGCGGCCACCCTTTCCTCCTCCATCCCCTTTTGCTCCCTGGCTCCCTTGCTCTTTACCACCCCCTTCACTTTCGACCTTCACCTTACGCGCCTTCTATTTTCCCGATGCTTCGCCGCGCACGGCGTCAACTGCCCCGCGTTTTCGGGAAGGGCGAGTCCGGCCCCCCACCTTCCCTTTACCACTCACCCGTCTGCCACGCCCGCCCCGTCCCTTCACTGGCGCCACATCCTCCTCCTCCTCCTCCTCCTCCTCCTCCTCCTCCTCCTCCTCCTCCTCCTCCTCCTCCTCCTCCTCCTCCTCCTCTGCTGCCTCCTCCTCGTCGTCATCCTCCTCCTCGTCGTCACCCTGTTTCTCCTCCTCCTTCTCCTCCTCCTCCTCCTCCTCCTCCTCCTCCTCCTCCTCCTCCTCCTCCTCCTCCTTATCCTCCTCCTCTTCCTCCTCCTCCTCCTCCTTATCCTCATCCTCCTCTTCGTCCTCCCCGCCATCATTCTCATCTTTTTCATCCTCCCCAACATCCACGTCATCCTCCTCCGCATCCTCTTTATCCTCCTCTTCCTCCGCATCCTCCTCATCCTCCTCCTCCTCCTCCGTATTACTAGGGTGTTCATCGCCCCGTTTCTGCCTCGTCCCTGTGACTGCTTTCTTGCCTCTCTTTCCGCCGGATGTTTTTCTTGCTGCGGGTCGGCCCTTCTGGCGCAATGCTTGACCGCGCGTCTTGCCACTAGCTTCCTTGGCGCCTCGCATTGTCCCAACTTCCTCGCCTCCGGCGTTGTCAGCACTGCTTGTCGTCTGCCGCCTCTTTGCCCGCGTGGTGAGGTCCCCGGGCACGGCGGTGTCATAATCGTCCTCCCCATCGCTCCTCCTCTGCCTACGCCTCCCCCGTCTACCAGAAGGAGGAGAGCCACCGACCTGCCCCTCCGACTCGTGCTCCCCCACCTTGTCCTTATCCAGCACGACTGCAGAAACTTCGACCACAATCGGCTAGAGCAGCGTCAGATGGTGTTGCGATGCCGCCGCCTTGGACTCCTTGGTTACGGCATGCTCAGCGCGGGGATCGCCTCCGTGGTTTCCCCCTGTCGCCGATCCCTCTATCTCCGCCGACAGGAATGCAAGACTCGCGCTCCGTCGCCCCGTAGCTTTGTTGCCGCCAGTGGTGCCGTCGTTACTGAGACTGGGCTCGGTTCCAGCAGAGGCAACATCCGCTTCTTTGCGCACAGTAGAAACACGCTTACGTGGCTTTGGTTTAGGCCCCTTGTCTTCCGCTTTCTTGCCAGACTCCTCTCGACCGCGCTCGACCTTTTTTGGCGCCGCTTTTTTCTGCCCAATGCCTGGTGCGACGGACGCATTAGTTTTTTAGCGCCGCCACCGCTCTCCCTATCTATCTATTGAGACGTCCTCCTTGTCGCGCGGCGGCCGGCCTGTTCCTTCCCCATTGCTTGGTTACGTGTTGCACGAGTCATGGTCGTTGTAGGAAAGCAAATGAGCACATCGCGCGGAAGGGTTGTGCCGGTCTCAAAGGGGTACTGCAACGGAATCCCACGATGGGATTATCGACGGTCGATCACTGTTATCTGTATCCGAAAACCACCGCTTCATCTAAAACTGAACTAGTAGCCACTGAGCAGAGAGCTATGGCCGCGACGGAGAGGAGTGAGTCAAACAGCGAGCAGCGTCAAAGTGTTGGACCAGGGAGTGACGGAAGCAGGTGGGTGGGGCACGAGGGTGGTTGGGGTGGGTTGCGAGACTAGAGAGATTACTGTAACCCTATCATGTCAGTAGATCTGCACTGTGGATGCCCAATTGATCCTGGAGAGGGTTACAGGGGCGTTCATCTGGGGGGTTATGGGCGCATTGACCCGCTACTGAAACAAGCCCTTTTATCCCAATGGTCTAGTGGTTGGGATTCTGACATGGTATCAGAGCGGTCTCGGGTTCGATTCCCGGTGTATGCACATGTAGGCCGTTGCCGCTGTGCTTAGTCCTGGGCCTTCCAGTGTGGGGGGGTGTTAGTAGATCTGCACTGTGGATGCCCGATTGATCTTGAGAGGGTTACAGGCGCGTTCGTCTCGGGGGTTATGGGCGCATTCACCCGCTACTGAAACAAGCCCTTTTATCCCAATGGTCTAGTGGTTGGGATTCTGACATATCAGGCTATATCGCACGGTGTACGTGTAGCCACCCTAGCATAAACCCACCTACCGCTCGATCTCAGCCGCTCATTGGCTTAAGTACCTCTTGGCTGGTGATTGTGTTGCGGGCCAACTCGTTTGAGATGCGTTGGCCAATCACGGTTGCCAACGCATCAATCACTACAAAGGGTACAACGGTTGTGAAACGCCAAGTGCGAAATTAGTAAAATCCCTGCAAAGTACAGTGTTGTCGCGAACGCACAGTGTTGCACATAGCAGCTAAATCAAACTCAAACATACAACAATAGATTTCATCAAACACTTAGTTGCAAATGGTTTAGTATGGGGTTGGGGTAAGTTAATTGGTGATTCTCGCGTCACACCGATGTACTGCGCACTTTTAGGCTTTGCCACATCGGTTTGTCGATAGCGGACGATATTCTAACACGATGATCAATAGTAAACGAGAATCAGTTGTAGTATGGTGATGGATTATCATCTATTCTTGCATGGACATTCAACAAAGTGCTTAGAGGGAGTGGTATGAAGCACAGGCCCTACGCACAAGCGGTGATGCGTTATCGACAGCCATGTTTAGACTGTGCGACGATGCAGCGTTTAGGCTTGCTGGGGTTGCGCGACATGGTGAATCTGTTTGCGTATGGTGATGGATCGTCATCCATTCTTGCACGGACATTCAACAAGGTGCTTAGAGGGAGTGGTATGAAGCACAGGCCCTACGCACAAGCGGTGATGCGTTATCGACAGCCATGTTTAGACTGTGCGACGATGCGGCGTTCTAGCCTGCTGGGGTTGCGCGACATGGTGAATCCGTTTGCGTATGCTGATGGATCGTCATCCATTCTTGCACGGACATTCAACAAGGTGCTTAGAGGGACTGGTATGAAGCACAGGCCCTACGCACGTACTCCTCACCGTGCTTGTCACGCACGCTTGCGACCAAGCTAGCCGTACACCACTGCATAAGGCCCTGCTCACGTCGTAATCACTCTAACAAGGGGCGACATGCCTTGTAGAGAAGGCCTATGCCGTGCTGTCGGCGGTCTGAATCTAGGCTTGTCACGGCCGCGCTACGCGACCATTGTTAGCCAATCTCTCACTAATGTGCCACGATCAAGTGCCAGGCGTGCAGAGATCCAAGTCGTCGTAAACACTTCGCGCTGTGGCGATGAACGTGCTGGAGTCTGAGCCTTCATTGACCGTGAAGTAAAAGCGTTTAGAAGCTTCAAACTGGCTAGTCTCCTCACACTACATTCCACCACTCTTAGACGGATCTAGAATACATGGGCTTTTTGCCACGCGTAGTATGCGAATTCTGCAATAGATGGTTCCCCAACGCCCAGGTTTATGGCGGCCATAAGTCACGGCGGACCCCTTGTCAAGGGCTTTCCGCCATGGCAAGGCCCTCCTCGTCTGCACCGTCTGCCGGTCTACACGCTCTGCTGTTCGTCCACGACATTCTGTCAGACGCTCCCGCTGCACCCGCTTCCCCTACCGCGTCTAACACGTCCAACACCGACGGTATGAATGATCCTCCTCGCGTGCCCAAAGCTAACAGAGACGCAACGCCCTCGGCTGTGAACGTGGGGGCTCCTGAAAGTGAGCATCAACCGCCTCCCGGAACACATGCCTGTGACACGAGTGAGCATCCGGAGAGCCGCCGTGAAGAGAGTCACGCCGCACCGCCGACATGCATCTCCGAGCAGAGCAATGTCACGCCCCTCAATCCGCTTGCGTTGAAGCTGTTGCATTTCGTGCGGCGCGTAAATGGCGGAATGGGAATGGCGGAGATCGACATCAATGGCCTGCTTCAGCTCGTGGTGGAGCCCGGCCTTGCGCCTCTTGTGATCATAGAGATCCGGAACAGCAAGGATTTGGAGCGGTTCGAGATGGAGCACTTGGTCGGGCTCAATCGCGGATGGTCAATGGCGACCTTCGAGATTGACGCTCATCCGCCACAGTGCCTTCTCTTTCAGAACTCTGCGCAGGTAAGTTGAATCTAAATCCGTGGCTGTGAAATGCAGATTCCGCATCCATTTGGTGCTTGTTGAACGTTGCCTCTGTTCGGCTTGTGTGAGATCTGCCCCACCTTCAACGCCACTAACCAGGGTTTGGTTCTCTCCTGCTCTTGCCAGAGTACGCCAGGCGTTTGTCAAACTGTTTGGGCATACCAACAATACGCCCGACTTCAAGCTCAAGGCTGGTGTTGATGAGGACCCTGACACAGGCGAGCGTCGCTATACCACGCCAGAAACTGGAACGTGGTGGAACGACGCTCAGGTATGGAAATACCCCGTTGCCACCCAAAACCAGAAGAGTGCGCATGCCTCCGTTGATGCGCTGATGTGTAGGGAGCATCTTCTGTGTGTCATGTTTGTGGGGAGTTCTTTGAAGCATGCTTAGTCCGCCTGGTGACAAGTTGCCTTGTTGGTGTTTGACCGTGTGCCTTTTCCCTCTTTGTCATGCTTTGCAGGAACACTTTGGATGGTCCGAAGTCGTGGGGGGTATCATCCTATACTCGGATGTGACGCACATGAGCAACAATGGTCGGAAGAAGGCGTGGCCGCTAATGATGACGCTTGCAAACATCTCCCAGGCCAAGCGATGGGGGAAAGCCGGGCACACGCTACTTGCTCTCCTTCCTATCCCCCCTTTTGTAATGTCTGCCGTGGAGAAGGTGATGCTCTTCCAGCGATGCGTCATTACCGTGCTGCAGCCGCTTCTCAATGGCATGGAAAGGTCCGTTCTCAATTTCTGTCTTGCTATGTCGTCACCCAATCAACGTCATAGTATGCGCAGCGTTTCGGTATGTAACAGTCCCCCTTGTCCCTCTTCGCCGATGCACAAAGCCGAAATCCTTGTTCCTGTTGCCACAATACCTGTTCCTTGCAGCAGGTTCCGTCTCAGGGACCCTTTTGGTGATTGGCAAACCGTGCGGCCCCTGCTGTACGCCTGGGTGTGCGACTACCCTGAGAGCGGCAAGATCAGTTGCACACTCTTGCATGGATCGCGGATGCTGTGCAGCATCTGCTATGCTGCAAAGGTGAGAAAATATGCGATCGGCGTGCCTTCAGAACCATCGCCATCCGAATGTCACATGACGGACCTCATAATCTCACCTCCCTTACTTGTTCATCCCATCCCACTCTTTGTGCTACACCAGGAGCATCTGGTTGCTGTAAAGGCATGGAACACGCTGCGCACGCCTGAACAGCAGCAATGGATCATGAATAAGGCGGCAGGGTTGACATCAAGCCAGGACGACCAATGCAAGACCTACTCGACCTACCCGGTTGAGGTGAGCGACCTGTTCCCCGGGCGACTGTGTAGTCTACGCACTCCGTGTTGCTCAAACCTTGGGGAGATGTGCTATACCCCATTGCACTGTCCCACATGTTGTGTGCCGAGTCTCTCAAATACCTTTCTCTACCATTCCCCACCACATCCCCTTTTCCAGTGTGTGCTCTGGAAGTGGGATGTCCCAGGGACTGTGTGGGGCAATCCCTACCTCGTTATCATGCCTGACATCATGCACCAGACGGACCTTGGCATGATGAGCCACATTGTGGCTGTCGTGCGCAAGATGAAGAAGCA